ACCCTCGAGAAGCCTTAGGGGGGGCTGATAAGTAGGACTCCAGGTTCTACTCCTAATTAGAGCTGCTCTGCTACTGTTTTCTGTAATGGGCTGCTTGTTGACTTTTTTGACAAAATGGTCTATTTGCTTGGTGAAAGTTCTGGAGGATTTTTATTGTGTAGTCCAGCTAGACTACTCTAGGGGTAGATCTTTGCTCCATGTGCCACAGTTCTGGGCCATTCCAAGCTGGGACCTTGGGCAGAGTCAGGAAGCAGGGGAAGAATGCTCTCCCTCAGCTGGCTTGGGCCAGGAGTGATGGCAGACCATCCCTGGCAGTGCAGGGGACAAGAGGGAAGAGGGTCCAAGTATTCCTCAGGCTTTGATGACCTGGCAGCTACTCCCATCCTTCCTGCTCTCCTCCACTCACCCTAAACTTCCCAAAGGATGTGGCTCTCATTAAAGCAGGGGAGGCAGAAGACACTGAAGCCACAGCCTTGATAAGGGGGGAGCTTAGCCCCTGGGCACTGAGTGCAGACCTGGAGACAACCAAGTGGATCCATGGCCTGTTTTCATGAAACAATTAGCTGGATAACTGTCCAATCTCTGCTGGGCTTTGTAGAGATGTAGGCTCAGCTTGGGAAGGACCAGGCAGTCCCTCCCTTCAAAGGGGCCAGCCATAAGAGCCATGAGCCATGAAGACAGCAGTATCCACTGACTTAGCAACTTCTCCACTGGGAATTCAACATGAGATACTATAGAAAGAAAAGGCCATCTGCGTAAAGAGGATCACTGTGGCATAACTCAAAATAGTCCCAAACAGACCCAGCTTCCCAGGAATAGGGGTAGTAAATTATAGAACATCAACTATATGAAATATTATGTAGCCACTAAAATTAGTATGTGAAGGCTGTGTAGAAACATGGAAACAAGGCTGATGGTGAAATGTTAACAAGAGGGAAGCTGCTCGGTGCAGATCAGCTAGTTCCCTTTTTCTCCCCCTCCCAAATGTATAACAAAGAGCTGCAAGAGAACCTACAAGATGAAGAGCTGCATTAGGGCAGCTGTATTATGACTGAGTTGTTATCTTATTCAGTGGATAAATAATTATTGAGTGTCCAGTGCTGGGCACTGAGCACAGAGCAATGAAAGAGGATGCATTTCCTGCTCTCCATCTGGAGCTTCAAATCTAAGGCTAAATTTTTTCCTAAATGTCTTTCAAAGTTGTTACAGCACTGCCTTTCAAAAATATATAGTTGATGAAGGAAATAAGCAAAGAAAGGTGCTCCTTGCCTTCTGGGTAATGTATTTCACTCCTGGGATGAGACCCACCTCCAGCTGGATTGCATACATGTTAGAAGAAAACCGAATGTAAATGTGGTGGTGACATTTTGGTCTTATAATGTCTTAGCTTCCTTTGGAGCAAAATCATTTTTTTTAAAAATCCATGTTAAAAAAGAGGAAAAAAGTTAGGACTTGTTACTAATCTGGCAATTGAATAATTAAGCATGCCTAATTCTGAAAGTAGCAAGCTAAATTATGCAGTGCCAAAAGTGACAACTCTCATACCTACACCATCCCATCTATAGCCACATGGTTTTAGCTTTATAGCTAAAATACGCTGCCAGAAAACCTAATAAAAGGAAGCAAAAATATTTCTGTTTATAACAAGCTGCCATTTGAGAACGACTTTTAAATATGTTCTTCCCTATGTGTAAATCTGACAGCAGGTGCATAATTAAAATCCCAGGGGAGAGTTTCCTTTTAATCTTTTCAAAGTAAACTAATAAAACATACTTGAGAATGTGAAATGATGAATTAATACTGTGTGGATTGCTTGAATATCTTTGAGTTAGAGCTCTGCCTCCAAGAATATTGTTTAGTACTAAAAGAACACAAGCCCCCGTCTTTATCTTTAGGAGTTCATACAATCACAGGAGATACAGACAACGACATGCCAAAGGCCCCCATGCATCTATGATGATTTTTGCTTGTCTTGGGTTTTGTTAAATGGAGGAATGAATAAATGGATGCATTCATATTAAAACAAACTTGATTTCAACTCTTCAGAAATATGTCACATAACATAAATGGGAGGAATAATTACCCAGGATTTCAGTTCAGTATAAGCAATCAATATGAATAATTTAGACCACAAAGTGGATTTTCATTTTGTTTGAGCTATTCAAATTAATTTCCTATACTGCCTCAACTACTGCTGAACAATCACTGGCAAATTTTCCATTGGGTCTTGGAAATGCCCAGTTCTGGATGTGGGACCTTGTTCAAGTTAAATGTCAGGACAAATATTCCATCTCATCATGATGTTCCATCTAACCTTGAGTACACACAGCCACACCTGAACTTTACTTTTATGTCTCCCTGTAGCTGAAGGCCCATTCCTGTCCCTTCTTCCCCTCCATCCCCACCCACACACATAAGCACACACATACACATGCACACACACACACACAGGTACCGGTACAAAAGAAGACAGAGAGCAAGTGGCTTCTGTCCTTGGACCAGTGCTGTCTACTTGTTAGCTCCCTTCTCTGATCTTAGGACTGGCTCTAGCCTTGCTGGCTGGCTCTAGCCTTGAACCACTTTCCCAGACCACTACAGCAGGTGGATAACTGACAGAGACCCTGCTGCTCTTGTAGCTGTCTCGGCACAGGGTTAGTTCAAGGCTGAGCTGTCCAGAGGCTTGGTTCCTGAGGGCAGCTCCCCTCACAGATGAATGTCTCCCTGCAGCAGATTTTGGACACAATGTAGTGGGTCATTTGTAATACAGCCACACACTTCAGCTTCGGTGTAGCCGCCCTGCTTGCCTACATGTGAAACACAAATCAAGGAAGAGAACATAGTTCCTTTCTGCTTAACTAAAGAACAGCCAATCCTGCCAGTAGATTAAAGGCTGGGGCTGGGAACAGTTTGCCAACACATTGACTTGATTTTGTGCAAATGGCTGAAAGAAGCTTTAGAAACCATTGTTAAGCAGTGAATGAAGAAATTGGTGGGAGCTCACTAGAGAGGCACAGAGACCACAGGTCACTGGAATGTGGTCCCATCTGAATAGACTTAGCCCATAGGGGAAGAAGATGCTACTAATATGTTTTCCTTTAGCCTGTGGGTTCTATTAGGAAGACCAAGCCAGAGCATGTCACTGGGAGGGAAATGCCATAGCCACCCAATATGTGCACAGGTGTACCCTCTAGGTGGACAAAAGCAAAAGGGTGTGTCAAAAGGGTGTGTTTACAGGAGGAAGAGCACAAATCAATAATAAGCTATGAATGCATGATGTCATCCTCCAAGACTAAGCATCCTTAGTACTTTTAAAGCACTTAAAAAAAAACTAGTTGCTATAGCAACTTGATGTGGCTCTTAAAAGGGGTTTTTTTTGAGTGGGTCATTTTATATCTTCAATCACCATAACAACATGATATAGCTTTTAAAGGGTATTTTTATCTAAATTGTGTGTATTTTGGACTTGAGCCATATTTGCCTTTTCTATTTAAAATAATCAGATCAAGCATGACACATGAAAAATCATTGAAGGAAAGGAAGCCCTTTCATAGACTATACATGTACATTCAAAGACATCTCTAGCTGCTCATATTCTGCACAGGGATGCAGTCTTATTCTCTGCCTCCCAGCAGCCATCTGCAATGGCTTACACTGGTCAGTTAGTCCATGCCCGTCTCTAAGTTGGCACACCAAACCAGCCCATAACCCACCCATAGAAGGTGTGTCTATGCCATCCCTTACTTTTCAGACCAGTGATCCAGCTCTCCCCTCTAAAACTACCACCAAATAAAGTGCCTTGGGGTCACTAGAGCTATAACCAGCCAAAAGTCTTATCCCACCCTGGGACTCAAAGTAGGAGTGGCTGGGACACACACAAAATCTTGTCAAAGTGAAAATTTTGTATTTATTCTGCAGTTTGTAAGGTAACTGAGGAGGAGGTCTGTGAGGTCTGTTTCACAAGACACCCAGGGCCCAGGGAAAGAGGAAGGTGGGGAAAGTGGTGAGAGGAGGAGAAGAGAGGCAAGGGGTGGGGTAGGGAGCTGCAGTGGCTCCAGAATCTACAGGAGGGGTTTAGAGGAGGGGTGAAAGTGGAAGTGGGGAGCTTAAAGGGGTATTTACACTTTTTTGGTAAGGTCGCCCAATATGAACTGTTTATCCCTACCAAAAATAGGGAGAAAGGATAATGGAAGGTATAGAGAAGCTACCCCTGGAAAAGATAGCAAGGTAACAAGAGCAGTGAGGAAACTGGAGGGGAAGTTCTCCCCTGGGGTGGGGGTGGGGGTAGAAGGGGAACTAAAGCAAGGAGGGCCCAGGGCAAGAGAGGCGGAAGTCCTGGGGCGTCCTAGTCTAAACGGCTTTTCTTTGGGGGAGGGAGCGGCATAGACTGTAGGAGAAAGCAGGTGTAAAGGAGATCTAGGAAAAAGATGCTGGGGAAAGTGGCCACCCTCCCCAAGGTAAAAGGGCTAAAGGACGCTGAGGGAAAAGGCGTGGTGAAAGAAGAGAGAAGAGAGAAGAGGAGATGAAAATGCTGTGTGTGGAGAGACAACGTGCTTTCCAAATCATCTGGATGAGAAAACAAGCCCGGGGGGCGCGGGAAATAGGAAGGAAGCCGCAGACCCTTGACACATATTCTCACAAGCCCGTTTCTGGAGGAGAAAACGAGTGCACAGAGGTTAGGTCATGGAACTGGCAAGTGCTGGGGCGCGGGCGGCCCCAGGTCTGCCCAGCGCCTGACTCAGGGTTCTCCCCACTCGGCCGCACTGTCCGGCGAGTCACTGCTGGGTGAGCGCCAGAGATGGGTTCTCTAGGGCCACCCGCGCCGAAAGCCAGTTATGTATGAAAGGGCAGGAGGGGCGGAGAGGAGGCCAGACCGAAGTCGGGAATGGGGCATCAGAAGGGAAAGTGGGAGCCGAGGGACGCAGACCCAGCCCGGCAGTAGAGGAATGGGCGGCAAATGAACGGCGCGGAGAGGAAACGCGGGTGCGGGGCGCGCCGCTCACCTATGGTGGATACCACGGTGCCCACGAAGTAGAAGGCGCCGGGGAAGTCCCAGCGCGGGCGCAGCGCGTCGGCTCGGACGCCGGCGGCCAGCGCGGCCTCGTAGTGCCGGAGGAAGGCGCGTAGCTCGGGCTCGGCCACGCCGTGCGCCGCGCTGAAGTTGCGCAGCGTGGCGTCCCAGCGCGCCCGCGCCTCCGCCTCGCCGGGGCTCTCGAGCGCGGAGAAGACGGTGGCTCCCGCTACCAGGTAGAGGCCGATGAGCGCCGCCAGCAGCACGAAGCGGCCCGTGTCCTCGTTGAGGTGCGAGCGGCGGCGGCAGCAGCAGCAAGAGGGGCGCAAGCGGCGGCGGCAGCGGCGGGGCGGGGGCCGGGCGCTGCGGGAGGACATGGTCCGGAGCTCAGCCCCAGGCCCGGGGCGGCGCTCGGGGGCCGGGCCGCGACATCCCCCCGCGGGAGCAGAAGCGTGAGGATGGTGGCCGGGGACCTGGGGCCACCTCGGAGCCCCTCGCCGCCTCTCCCGGAGCCCGGACGGCGGGGCGCCTCTGCCTCCGCCTCCTCCTCCGCGCTCAGGCCGCACGCGGGTCCCGTGGCCCTTCGGGCGTCCGGGCTGGGGCGCTCTTCTCTGCGCCCCGACGCCTCGCAGGCACCCGCGGCTCCTGCCCCGCCACCCTCGGGCGCGGGGGTCTGAAGCTAGGCCCCTGCCGCCCTGTGGCCGGCGTCCGCGGGGCCCCGGGCCTCATACTCCTCTCCGGACAGGCCGCGGGCTGCGGGCGAGGCAGACTGTGCGGCCCGATGCGCCTAGGACTGGGACGCGGCAGCAGGGCACGAAGAGAGCCCCCGGGGGCGTCCCATGAGCCGTTTCCGGCTCGGCGGCTCCCAGACGCAAGCTGCGCTGGCAGTCCAGCTTCCCGCCCCCGGTCCGGAGCTGGAGACGTCGGCTTCTGAGACTCAGAACCGAGCCCAGTCCGGGGAAGCGCTCCCTTTCCAGCTCTATCCGGAGAGCTGCCCGGCACAGAGAGGCGGAGTCAGCGGCGCCCGGGGCGGGGTGTTGGGGGTGGTAAGAAATGGAGGGAAGGGGTGGGGAGTTGGGCTGCTGCGACGCCTCCCGGTTGTTCTGGAGGCACTAATGCGGGGCACTGAAGCAGGTGTCCCGACTGCGGTGCTGACTACTACCCCGCTGGGGAACCCAGTCTGACCCCTCCCTGCGCTTTGGCTCCGGAATCCCTCTCTTATCTCCAAGCTGCCTCTAAACTTTGCTCAACTTAATGGTGCCCTTGTGGTCTCAAGGGCTGGGGACCGCACGACGCGAATCCCTCGGCATCGGGTCCGCAGGGTCCAGTCCGAAGTTTAAGTTCCCTGTCGCTCGCTTCTTCCTGGATCCATCTGCAGCACCAGATCTTGGAGGGTTCCTCTGGGGAAATGATCTCGCTGGGGAAGGAATGGGAGTGGGATCACTCAGTTCAGGGCGACCCGGGAACGAGGGCGTTTCCCCCCCTCCAGACCGAGCGGGCGTCGGCGTCAGCACCGTGGACAGCGCGTCTGTGCGGTAGCCAGGGGGCTGGAGGGGCGAGAGCTGCGGGAGTCAGCGGCGCGGGCCGAGTCCGGTTACGTTGCCGCGCTGGGCTCCCCAAACCCTCTGTTTCCCTTTCTATCTCTTGTGCGTCCCCCCAGTCGGAGGCAGGTGTGGCCGCTGAAGCAGTGTGCCGATAGGGCGGGGACGCTGCGGAACAGGGGAGGAGTCAAGCGCCAGCAAGGGATCCAGGTGGCACGCGAACCGGAAGCGTCCAGGCCCCCCTGCTGCTGGGTCTCCTTGAGCCATCCCAGCTCCCTAACTCCTTAGCCTGGGGTCGGAGGTCCTGGATAAAAATCTGGCTGTGGCAGGGCGGGTAGAGGAGGTGTACGGGGAGCTCACTACGTTTGCTCAGGCCGAGGTGGTGTGGGGGGGGGGGGCGCCTCTGGTGTGCTCTCGAGCGCTAGGAGAAATCGTCACCCCTCTGCTACCAAGGGAGCTTTTCTTGCCCAGCAGGCCGGCTTGGCCGGAGCTACAAAGTTCTGTGGTGAGAAACGCCCGTGGTAGAACCTGGAAGGCCATCCTTTTCTGGCAGTCAGCCTTCTCTGTCTGTCCCCCTTCTACTCGAGAAGGGGACTGTGACGATGATGAGGCGATACAGATGACAGAAAATAAAGATACTGATTGTGGTTGTGCTTAGATACCATCAGTGGGTGAACTGGAGCAAAATGCAGAACTGTTCACCCACCCCAAACCCTGCGTTGTCTGGCTTTCACAATGGAAAACACTCAAGCTAGGGTCGAAAGTGGTGGCAGCATTGTCAGTTCCCTTAAGGCCAGGGTGCTCAACTTGGTTCCTGAAGGATCCTCCACTATTCACTGAGCGTTTCATGGCCTGTAAACCAGGTCTTTCTGACTCCATCCCTGACATGGGGAATGGGGGAGATCTGACTTGGAACGTTGACTTTCCTGAACCAGGGCACCCTGGAGTCGTGGATCTTCCTAGAAATGCCATTCCAGATTAGAGATGAAATAAACTGCACTCCTCTCTGCATTAGGGAGGGGACAGATGGGGAAAAACTCCACCACCACCACCATAGTCAGAACTATGCTTCCTGGCAGTGGGTTGTATGTGGCTAGTTTTGGATCAGTCTTAGAAAGGAACAGGGGAACCTTTGTGTTAGGGGGAAAACTCCTCATCCACGGTGGGAGCATTATACAAACACAAATCATTGCCATTGCAGACTCTTGTTATTTTTTGCAAAATGCACTTTAATTGCTCTCTCTCCAATCCTTTGCTTCCCTTAGCCTCTCCACTGGTGTTGCCCCAACTTGTTCCCCCATCCCTTCCATACCCCCATCTCTATAAGCTACTGCAGTCAGGGAGGACAACTCAGCCATGGGCCTTCAGGGCTGAATTCCACTTGGCTGATCAGCTCTGATAGAATCCCTGAGAGTGTCATTTCAGGAGTTGGCCCTGGAGCCTCCAGATGCAGCTGAAGGGCATTGCCAGACCACACTCAGTGGCTTTCTTTGCTCAGACTCCCAGTGTAGGGAGAGTGCTTCACTGCAGTGTTCTGTGCCTCTTGATCAGCTCTTTGTCCAGCTGGCAGGGGACCTGCTTTGTCTTCTAGCTTGATTAGCAGCAACCCCCTGTCGTCAATCTTGACTCTGAATGACCTAATCAATTCTTATAATTCGGACTTGGTGAGTTTACAGCACATAGGCACAGGTCCTGTGGGGAACCAGCCCCATGATGAGTGCCTCTTTTGCCCACTGAATCAGTATTTAAGTCTCTGACTTTCATCTGGCTATCCTCAAAACCTTTACCTCATCCCTGAATTGCTGCAGTAGCCCCCTAAGGATGGGGGCATGCTATCTCAGATGTCTGCCATCCTAGGTCCATCCTGCCTGCACCTACCAGTCATTGCTGTGATCATGTGATCACTGTTTGATCTGATCATGTGACCGATGTCCCTAGACCACAGTCTCCAATGGCTCCCCCAAAGCTGTAAAAATTTAGTCTTTAAACCCCAAGGCTGCCATTTCAAAGCCCTTGGTGATATGATTCCCAGCAAATCATTCCAGTCTCACCTTCTACTGCCTCCTACTTATCCCTCAATTACTCCATTCTCAGCCCAATCACATGGCCATTGCTTGTACTATGGCCTCTGCTGGAGTGCCACCTTCTTTGTACTCCTCTCCAGCTCTTCAAATATACTGCTCAACTCATGTTAGACCTTTTTTTCCTGAAAACTTCCCCTCTGTAGGATATTTAAAACCAATCACCTTGATGCCATTGTTTCAACCCTAAGATCACTTGATTCTGCCACGCCCTTGAGAACCTCAGACAAGACGCCTGAACACGTACAGCCTCTCTGTGTCATTCTCTTTCTGTCTTTGTGCATCTCTGTGTCATTTGTAAAAGAAAACACAATGGCAGGAGTGATAATCAGGAAAACTGGGAAGAGTAAAATGCAACAAATTGTCAATTCCACTTCTACGTATATACCCAAGATAAATGGAAAGATACATCTACAAAAAAACTTGTATGCAGATGTTCACAGCAGCAATTCACAATAGGCAAAAAGTAGCAAAACCCCACATATCCGTCAACTGATGAATGGATAAGTACAATGTAATATATCCATACAATGAAATATTTGGCAATAAAAAGAAAGGAAGTACTGATACATACTGCAACTTGGATGAATTTTGAATGCATTATGCTATGTGAAAGAAGCCAGTCACAAAAGATGACATATTGTATGATTTCATTTGTATGAAATGTCCAGAATAGACAAATTCATAAAGACAGAAATAACTTAGTGGTTGCTAAGTACTGAGGGACTGAAGAAGAATGGGAGTGACTACTAATGGGTATGTTTTTTCATTTTTTTGAAGGTAATGTAAAAATGTTCTGAAATTGTAATGATGATTACACAGCTCTGTGAGTATACTAAGGACATCAAATTGTATGTTTTAAATGAGTGAAATGTATGATATGTGAATTATATCTCAATAAAGCTGTTCAATACAAATGCAACTAATTCATCAAATCTTTATTGAAAACAGATGGAAATAGAAAAGTACTTATTCCAAGGAAAATAAAATCTTGAAAATAAAAAAATAGGAAGAATTAGAAACAGTTTAGCTGTGCAAAAGAGAAAATTGATTATGAATTAAACTTGAATAAGGGAGTTTACTCCAGAAAATACATTCTCTTAAAAAATAATCTGTGTTGGTAAAATCCTGATGAAAAATTCTGCTTTCCAAGTAACAAATTCAAAATGTCCTGAGTACCTCTAAACCTCTTTGATCTCAGAACTCCTCTAATATTAATTACTCATTGGCAATTCGTTGTGTATGTGTATGTATCACACATACAGCTGACTCTTGAACAACATGGGAGTTAGGGGTACTGGCCCCCACCCCAAGTAAAAAAATCTATGTATAACTTTTGACTCCCCCAAAACTTAACTACTAATAGCCTACTGTTAACCAGAAGCCTTACCAATAACATAGTCGATTAACACATATTTTGTATGTTGTATGCATTATATACTGTATGTGTACTATAAGGTAGGGAAAAGAAAATGTTTTTTCTCCAAATCTCCAAAAAATTTCCTATACATTTCATTGAAAAAAATATGCAAATAAATGGATCTATGCAGTTCAAATCTGTGTTGCTCAAGGGTCAACTCTCTCTCAATATATAAAATCTGGAGAAGCTGATCATCTTTATGTTGTGAAGGTTCACTTGAATTGCCTTCTTAGTTGTACAAATGCTGAAACCCCTCTCCCAACATTCTCCTGGAGTTAGGGTATCATAAAACTTTTTATGTGATTTGGCAAAAATTTCCTCACACCATGTTTTACAGAGCTGGTAAGTAAGGAAGAGTGAACCAATTTCATCTAGGGCCTTCTGGAAGGGAAGGAAAACATGTCTGATTTGTCTCCCCTTGATTTGAGGAAAGGTAGAGGGCAGTATCTAACTACAGCCCAGGAGCTAAGTGAAAGACCCTTTGAAATGAAATTATTCTCAGGAAAATGGGTCTGACTGGAGGCTAGGCTCAGACAAGTGCCTAAATGCTTTGGTGGATCAGAATGTAAGCCTGATGATGCCTCATAGGCCATTACCTTGACTGTCTGTGGAATTTGAAGATGAGGATTGACCTTGTGACTCAAAAGGAGGGAGGGTTAATGCCCAAGGTGGCACCTCATCTGAGCAGTGACAGATAAGCAATGCCACAAATAGCACACAGGTGCTTACAATAACAAGGGTGGCCTTGCTCCTTTTCTTTCCAATTGGCATTTGGACAGGTGCTTACAATAACAAGGGTGGCCTTGCTCCTTTTCTTTCCAATTGGCATTTGGAGAAGGGAGTTCCTTTCAGGCTGAATAAATCTCTATTTTCTTACTGATCTTCTACCTAGATGTTCTATCTCTTATTAAAAGTGGGTATTGAGGTCTCCAACTATTATTGTAAAATTGTCATTTCTCCCTTCAAATCTATCACTGTTTACTTTATATATTTTGGGGGTCTGTTGTTTGGTGCATATTTGTTTATTATTGTAGCTTCTTGATTTACCCTTTTATCAATATGTATATCCTTTTTGGGGCTTTTGTAACATTTTTCTTTAAAGTCTACTTTTTTCTGAAGTATAGCCACCCCAACTCCCTTTTGGTTACTGTTTGCATGGAATATTTTTCCATCCTTTCACTTTCAGTTGATTTGTGTCTTCAGATCTTAAGTGAGTTTCTAGTAGACAATAGGTAGTTGGTACGTAAGGCTCTGTATCTTGCAACTGAACTTGATAAGAATTCCTATGATTGTTTAGCTGCCTCCTGACATATTTCCAAATAATCAATAAATAGATTCTTATTGAGAACCTTTCAGGTACAAAACAGTGTGTTATGAACTCACACACACACACACACACACACACACACACACACAACTGAGTTCTGCTCTTCCTGCAAGAGCTTAAAGCCTGGCTGGGGAGACAAAAAGTGGTAAGGACTATGACACAGCAGATACAATTAGGAGCTGACTCTGTGGTGCTTATCACAGGAGGTCAGAGAAAGGAGGCTATGGTGAGAACTGCAGAGGTCAAAAGAAGCTTTGGCTGGTCATGAAGGATGTGTAGAATTTAGATGGACTGGAAGAAAGGGAACATCCCAGCCAGTAGAACTGACATGGGTGCAAGTGTGGAAGCAGGAAAGAGCACATTGTGTTCAATGAACTGTGGCAGATGGAGAGCGGATGTGGTGAGAAGACAGGGAAGAACCCCTGTCTTTTATAATCCATTACTTCATTGGCTGGCCTCTCAACCTCTTAATACAACTTTGGTGCATGCCATAACT